GCGGTGTTGGCATGTTTTTGGGAACTGTTGGGGATGTCCTCTGTGGTCCTGGAGTGGTTAGAGATGGTGGGAGTGGTTCAGCATTTCATTTAAGACAGATTTATTGCACTTATTTTGGCTTGTTAGCAGTTGTGGCGATGGATATAGCACATTATAGAGCGCTGATGCAATCATCTTGTAGAAGAATTTTATGCCTTTGACATGTAAAAGGTTTCAAATTGTTTTACAACTGATAGAAACGACACATATTTAGAGTGCTGAGGTTAAATAGCCAAATTATCGATTTATTTATATAAATGACCAAAGGTTGTTTTAATTTGACTCAAGATCTTAAAAAGAAAAGACCTGTTGCCTACTAAACCTCTATAAGTGCTTAAGCAAAGGTGTTTCAGATAAACTCAAAGACAAAACATGCGAACACATTATCCATAGGCTGTATATAAAAGATGGAAGCAGCTTCCAGGTCTTAAAAGTAATGCTAATCAAGTAGTGCCAAACTTATTTTTATTTATCATTGTTTTCTTTTTACTGGCCAGAATGGGGTGACTTTCCTGGTTGCAAATAGATTTTGGGACTGTGCACAAGTCAGTGAAAAAATGCCCTTAATTCTCACAATGTATTGGTCGCTTCGATACATTACAAATGATATTCATTTTATAAAATATGGGCCTAGTAATGGTAAAATAATTGCTATTCTTCAGGGTGCAACAGGCTAAGGAGCTGGCTGTTCAGTTTTTCTACTACGCACATTTTTAAGCCTGTTTTCCAAGTTGCTCAAACTGTTCATTATTAGCACCTGGCTAGATGGCTAACTAGTGCAAAAACCGGACGCTCATGTTCAAATAAGGTAAATGCCAGACTTGAGGCTTCGAAACAGCAGCCCACAATGCAATAAGTGACATCCATCTTTTATATACAGTCTATGGTATTTTCAGTTTTAAAAATAAGTGCAACCATTCTTCCCATTTATAACACACTGCTTGCTAGTGACAAAGTCACAAAGCAGGCTTATGACATACTACAGCTTAAATTAGATTGTTTGCCATGATCTTCAAGCAAAAAGCTTTCACAGAGACAGGGCGAGGCTGTTCAGGCTGACACCACTTTTGTTAGTAGAAAGAGAAAAAATTGTTGTTATCAAACCAGCTTTAATAGAGACAAAGCTGCAACAGTGTTGCATCAGTCGCTCGATGCAGGACACTGGGGAAATAACTATATTTGCTGTTTCTGCAGGTGTTTGGGCATTATTGATCATGATCGATCAGAACAAATGTGGATTTTCTGCCAAACTAACGCTGCATCCCACTAGGCACTGTGACGATTACTAGAATATTACCAATGACTCACTTGTACCTAAAGTGTCATGGTTTTGCAAATGCTGGGCAGTGAGATGGATCAAAGAAGTCATTCTGTGAATCGTGCTGCTCACACCACTTGCTTGCAGGGAGCGCTTTTGAGCCATCCAAAGCTCAGCAAGACCGTGCAGCAAAGGCAAAATGTTTGGCTTTACCTTGGTTTCTCTTTGGTTTGTGGATAAAGTGATCACCTGGATTGGGGGGAGGGGCCACGTCCTGCCCCTGTCTGGCTAGTAAAGGGTCATACTCCTTGCCGTCATAGTTGGCGTCGAAGAACTTCTTGAACCACTGCACAAATTCAAAGTTGTCCTGGAATTTCCCTTTTACAAGCTTTTCTACAGGAATTATCTGGACAATGAAAACAGGAAATAGTTGAAAAGCTCCACTTGATACACACACGTATATCAGTATGAAAGGTAAAACAATTAATTATCTCAGGTATCATGAATTAAATAAATAATAAAACCATAATAAAGTGATTCTGACTTTGTCAACACTCATCCGTTTAAAAGCTGCCTGAAGAACTTTGAAGTTGTGTATAAATTCATGTTCCAGCTTGGCTTGAAATTTGACCTTCTTCAGAAGAATGCACCCCGGAAACAACATGTCCATGAACTGGCAATACGCCGCTCCTTGAAAACGTAAAGACACAACAAATTGATCTCGTTATTTCGGTCACGAGTTGCCCCAAAATTACCTCAGCAGCTTATTTCAGGGGGAAAAATAACCTCAGGCCTCACCTGAACAGAGCTGTTCAATCTTGGTGTAAGTGAGATGCAAAGAGTCGTTGACCCACGCCAGCATGTCATGTCGGCTGAGGTTGTCAATGGACACAGATGTTGCGTACACATTCACTGCCATCCCTGAGTCGAAAAGAGAGAAACAACCACTCAGCTACATTTTCCTGTTAGCAAGACTTGAAAACTTTAAATGGAAGTTGAAGGAAGAATATTGGTCAATGATTCATCTCTCTGATTGGTCAGTGCAAGGTATGAGTATAATAATGTAGGGATTGTCTTTATAGTATAATCTAGGCAAAGTAACCATTCTACATGCTCCTTAACCAAGCTACCAACTACTGTACATAACATTTACCAAGCTTCTTACATTGGATTTGAAAGACTGAAACAGGACTTATTTAGGGCTTTAATAATGATTATTATTGTAATTAATTACTTGCTAAAAACAATATGCCTATTTCTCATACAAACGCTGCAAAACATATAAGCGTACTATACATGATTATTATGCCATTATCTACTACACCACTATGGCTTTTTATCACTAACAATTAACAATCATTATTAATTAGTTTTTAAACTGTGGCTTTCTCCCATGTGTGCCTTTTCCCTCTGCTCTTTTGTCTTTCCCCTCACCCCCAACCAGCTACAACTGCTCCTCCCTAATCCTAGTCCTGCCAGAGGCTTCTTCCTGTTAAAAGGGAGTTTTTCCTTCCCACTGTCACCAAGCACTTGCTCATAGAGTGTCAACTGATTGTTGGAGTTTTCTCTCTAATATTATAAGGTTACTGTGATTTGGCGCTATATAAACAATGTTTATCTCAGTTAAACATAAAGAGATAGCAACACATTCAAGAAGCTGGAATTAGGAAATGTTAAACTGACTTCTGACTCCATTAACTTGTGAATCTACATCACTGCACTACTTTCACTGAATCCATTTTTTTTTTTTTTTTTACTATACTGACCTGGATTTCTTCGTTGGGCCATGTTAATATTAAACCCTATAATCTATACAGGCAGATTCCAAAACTGCACTGCAGTTTCTTCAATTTTTAGGAATTATTTTTTCACCCCCTGTCTGACTGTAAATCTTGGGGCTGGGCCACAGTCTGTTGCAGCTGTAAATCCCACTGAGAATGGGGATATCAAGCTTTTAGGGAGGAAATTTGACTTTCAGACATAAACAGAGTCCCTAAGAAGCATCTTTATTCTCAGTTCTAATCTAAAAATGTGTTTCGAGCATAATCCTCCCTGATTATACAGAGAAAAAAAAATCCGGAGTATTTGTCAGCAGCTTTACACATCTGGCATCTCCAGCCTTCTCTGTGCTCACTTTGCTTGCCTGTTAATGCGGTGTCATGTCCAAATGATCTTGTAACACCTCAGACCTTTCCTGCACCAATATGCATATTAACACGGGCAACGTGGCGACTTTAAAATTATGCTTTTTAAGGTCACACGCCGCTCTGTCTGCACCTGACAGCCAAAGACTAATGAAACCACGTCTGTCAGTTTTTAGTTTGATGCTGAATCGTGCTGTGATTTCTGATGATAACACTTCTATTGTGAATGCACCTTCAGCAACGCATTCTCCCACGGGCCATTGGCTATACTGAAATTGCATGGCTGTAGCGTCTAACCCCATGAGCAACTACTAGCCAGGATGAGGAAAAAATCCCAATGTTTCAGCTACGTGAGCAGCAAAGGACCACGCAGTGGGCGTACATTTATTTAATAAGGGCACGAAGGGAAGTCTATCTATTCTCCACAAATCTATCGGGCCTTGGAAAAAGCTCCCATAATGACTGCAGCAAAAAATAAATAAATAAAATCCTGAGCGCAAACCGCTGAAGTCAAGCAAGAGCAAATGGGCGGGGGTCTGACATTTCAACCCGAGCTGAGAACAATAAATGTGCTCGTTTGCTGGGTGCTTTTGGTTAAAAAAGCCGCAACGCTGGGTGCTGCTCTCATAGCGGCCCCCTCTACAGGCCTCCCCGAATACCTCAGGACTGTCAGCACACGGGAAATATCCTCGCTGCATGGGAATAAAGCACAGCTCCCCGTTAAACCTCTTTACGTGCAGAAAAGGGAGAGATTTGAGAGGCGGGGTGGGTCGGCAGGGCGTAAATGCGGCGATACTCACTGTATTCAGGAGCGTCTGTGTTGTTATCACGCTGGCAGTATTCCTTATGTCAATGCCCGTGGCTGTCGTCGTTGTCAGACCCTGCGCGGTGCAGTGCTTGGTAACGGGCCGCCCTGTCTGGGGCTGCAACAATTCAGCCTCTACTGCGCGTGCGCCCGACTCCATGCTGTTAAAGGTTCATTATAAATAGGACTTTGGCCTGTTCCAGCTAAGAGACACATGATGTGTCTGGTTGGATCTTAGGCCTGCGAGTGACTAAGGTTTTTGTGGGGTCAGGCTTCACATGTTGCTGTTTTATCTGCTGCTGGATAAGATATGTGAACGACGGACAAAGTGGAGCGATCGTTTTTTTTTTTTTTTTTACAAAAGAACTGTTTTAGAATTGCTGGGTCCAGTATTTTAGTTGTGATCTGTATCTATTATATCTACAGTATAAATTGAATTTAGTTTGACAGTTTCCAATCAAGTGGTCAGACCCTTTTTGAAAAAGAAGAAAAAGCACTCTTATATTTTTTTGTCTATTTATATATGCCATCTGTTTTCAGTTATTTACATTTGCCCTATTAAGTGAAAATTGTTATTGGTGAAATGTGACAAAGGAGCCTAACAAGCCAAAAGAGTTACTAGCAATGGCAAATGTCTGCGAAATATAGAGAAGTATGAAAAATGTAATGTAAAAGCATAAAACTGGATAAAATTGTAATTTTCACGTGAAAGAATGTGCAGTATATCGAGTATAGCCAGGAATCAGACACAGGATTTGATTTCATTGTTGTTTATTTGCACTCACATCATGTGATAGAGAGCTGCAAGGGGCGAAAAAAGGAGATAAAAGGATTCAATGTGACGACACATTGTTCAGCACCAGTGTACGTTAGGTGGGGGAAAGACACAGCATAATGCACTGGAGCAAAATGTGAACTCTGTCCAAAAAGAAACAGTGATGGAGGAGTTTTACTAGAACATGCATGAAGATCTTGTGAACATAACTGATTCTAAAATGAGCTAAATCCTGAATGCATGATCAAAATACAAAAAAAGAGAGAGAATCGGTTACCGAGACAAATATTCACAAGTAGTAACTACAAAATGAACAGTAAAAATACAGTATTAGAGAACTTGAAAAAGTATCAGTGCTTTTCTGTAGTTGCTAAACAAACATACAAACTTTCAGTGTCATAAGAAGGCATTTGATCCTCTGAAGATTTCAACTTTATGAACACTAAAGTGGATCCCTTCACCGCTTCTATACAGAGCTTAACAAATTTTATCAGACCACCTGTCATAAAAAAACAAGAAAACACAAATATTTTATAAATCTGTCAAAAACTTACTTAAAACCAAAATTAGATTGTTTGTTAGGCAAGTAAAATATACTTTTTTATACCCAAATTTTGAGCAGGCACAAATTTGGGTCAGAAATTATTCAAGCACAACATTCAACCACTAAAATAAATGTTTCTACTGAGGAATGTAAGTAAATAGCTGTAATTTGGCATCTGAATCAAAAAATGATCATGTGTTTAACTATTTCGTCTCTTTTTTTTGTAAAAGTACATTTGAAAGTTCAGGAGTTAATTTGGGGCAGCGGTGGTAACTCACACTGTGTGGTGGTCTAATAGGTTTGTTGAGCACTGTATGTGCTTCACAGTGGTGTGCTACATTAGACGTGTCAGTCAGATGACCGATAACACCCTGACCACAGTGAACCAAAGTTGTTAAGTTGTTAAAAGTGCACCAGTGGTACGGGATGATGTGTTCTCAGGTGAGAAAAAGGCCATTTGGGTGAGACTGTTTGCTCTCTGTGGAAATAAATATGATCAGAAATGATGCTAACATGTTTCGTATCAGTGCTTGTTAAAGTTCTTCTAACTATGCTAACATGCACAGTACTTACAGCATAGCTTCATTCACATTTGGTGGAGGTGGAACAGAAGTCTATTCTGCTATAAGGCTGTTGAACCTGATGAACCAGTGAGCAAAGACTTCATGTTCTTATTTGTGTAATCATTCCAACATAGTAGCATCAAAAGAACATAACAAATAATGCAATATAAAAAACATTATAACAAAAAACGAGTAAGCTTGAATTATGATATTCCTCATCATTTGATCAGTAGCAACTCTTCCTTTCACAACTGACATTTTTTTAATGTCACGTCGACATCCTCGTAGGAATTTGTCACATTTCATTCATCGTGGCTCTGAGTAAAAAGACATTTTGTGACACTTGTGACATGAAATCATGTAAAAAGGCATCTAAATAGTACATGATACAAGTGCAAAATCGTATTTTACAGTGAGGTAACACAATCGCATCATAAAAACCTTGACTCACCTTCATATTTCTAAAACTGTTAATAAGACTCAACATTTTCCCCTACCAGAATCCAATAACCAAAGTAACTCAACTGCAACTCAATTTATATCTGCTGCTTATATTTGGTTAACATTTCACTGGAATTTGGTAGCAATAACCACTTAGCAAACATTTTTCCCTGGCCATATTGCAGTATAATTACAGCCACGTCATACAATTTTACAATTCTAAATAACAGCACTGAGTTCAAAATGAAAACATGACTCCGTTACTCCATACATGTTCTAAAGTAAAACAAGTCTTCTTGCTTGGCCATACATTTTCCTCGAATATCATTCTTCTGCTTTATGTAGCGGCATTCTGACTGGTTACCAGATCCCGCTGGATCTTCCACCAGGAGGAGCAAGGATCCTCGCTGAGGATCTCTTTGGAATGTTGTCATCGATTTGAGCACCTGGAGCAACCGGGGACAAGATCACGTTGGATTAGGCAGCGAAAAACAAACAACTGCTATTGCCTTAAAGAACTTACTTGAAGCTCAGTCATACTTTGCAGTAGTACAGTAGAGGCTTCTCTAAAGAGCTTATGTTAAGTTCCGGGGAGATTTAGGAAATGGAGCATAACTAAAAGGATGGAAGTGTTTGTTTGCTTTCCATTTAATCAAAGCATTTATTGTTTTATATAAAATTATTGGTAAGTAATTTGATGTAAGGTACAAATACAAGGATTCCTTCAGCATAAATGTTTACTATAACTACACTCCAATTATTATCTTCCCAGGTGAAGTCACTTCCCAGGCATAAAGCAACACTTGTTGCACAGTTAGAATCATTATTGGAGTTTTAACCTTTTCAGACGTGTTCTTCAGCATGCACCCTGGAAGCAGGTGAGATTCTGTCAGAAACCTTTACTCTGTTTCTACTGAGACTTTTTGCTGCCTGTCATTCGTCATTTCTACCTCAGCAGCTTGCCAGTAAGTACTGCTCTGATTATGCAGGCCTAAACAAACAAGTTTTATCCCAAACATGGGACAACTATAGTCTTCAGCTGGCTTAAAGTGCTGTTATTAACAGTTACTTTGACTATAGCGCCCTCATCAGGCTAGTCATTAGACATTTTATAAAACCTGCAGCAGCGCCACCAAATCACAAGCTACCAGTGTCCCGTAGCTTCCATTAACATGGAAATTCCTCTTTTTGTGTATCTATAACATAATTATAAAATTCACAATGTCATGTGTATGAATCAGCTGGTCCTCACCAGACAGGCTGAAGCTGGACTCATGGAGGTCCCTTACGCCCCCATGCCGGGTGCAGGGGCGTGTTGGAGTGTCCAGATCTGAAGAGCCGGTGTCTCTTTTTCCAGAATTTGCCACGGCAACAACTTCACCTGTGTAGGGTTCCCGCTCCACAGCTTTCAACGCCTGGCACTGGCAGAAACATATAGCAATAAGTATTCCTTAAAAACAATACTTTCAACAAACTACGCTGCAGGCTTCCTGTAAAAATGTAGAGAACATAAGTTGAAGTAGCACATATTTATTTACTTTATAAATTAATCTCATTACAGTCTTCAAATCCTCTAATCTTGTCTGACATTTCCCCTTTTCAGAATCTAACGAAGTTCACACACCCTAATCCAAGAATTCTTATCAATTATTGAGATTTTTGTTTTGTTTTGTTTTGTTTAAAAAGGAAAAAATATGAAGATGATAGGATCAACAAACTCCCCTTGCTGTCCCCTAGCAGGGGCTTTATGTTCCACCAGGGGGCACTGAAAGCAATGCATGTTTTAGCAACTGAGTATATTTCTCAACCCCACTGCAAAATTTCTTAGATGCTAACTACACCTCTAGAATCAAGATTAATCAGTGGGAAACACTGAGCTTTGTAGTGGAAGTTCCAACAATCTCTAACATTTTCCCTCTCACAGAATATCCCAATTGATTAAGAGCTATTTAGCCAACTCTGCTTAAATATACAAATTTGTTTTTGATTTTCTAGCTTTCCATCTTTTGTAGTTCCACTATGGAGGATGAGACATAAAATCACAATAAACTACAATTATACATA